GAGAGAGAGAGAGTAGTAACTGATACTCTTGCAGTAAATGTTCGCAATGGTGAATCAAAAGATAGCAGTGTGGCATCACCTGCTTGACCTCGTGGGTATTACGATGGCGAAAGAGATGCACAAACCATGCGTGGGTTGTGGTATGACTCCAAATTATTGCGCATGAACTCTACTGCCAACACAAGAGAAGTAGAATTAGGAGAGGTTTCTGGTGGATTTCATCATATTGCTGAAGCCACGGCATTTCCATTGATGTAGCTCAACACTGTCTCCTCTTCCGTTAGCGAGATGCACAAAGGGTAAATGAATAGCCTATCACACAAATAGGACATTTTCCTGCTTGCACTGTCTTACCTTTCTTGTACCTTACATCAGTGTATTTGCCACTTGGCAATTTCTGCAGCGTTTCTCCACAATTCCTGACAGCGAAATAGAACCAAGTTAACCTAACAAAAACGTGAAATGTGAAAGTGAATAGCTCGTGTGTGAGTGGACTGACCGCGAATCCCATGCTTGCATACGCATTAATATCGGTGTGTCGAGAGTTAGATCATTGCCTCTTCTTACAGTATGCATGTGTAGACAGCCACACACGGCTCGGAGTGTGTGCCATATGAATTGCAAGTTATTATACTGCATTCCATTGCGTCGCACTGCACCGCAGCATAACACGATGTGTCGACAATGCTGGTTCCATCAAACGCGCCGCCTTCTCATCACTGTAGACTTAGAAACGGGCAATCCACCCCTCCTCCAGGTGCATTTGATGACACTGAAGTTAACGATCCATCTCCTCGTCAAACTCGGGTAGAGTTGGTTTGAAACTACATCTGCGACTTGCTGCAGCACTGACAAATCGGAGGTGCGGCATGGGGAATATCCACAAGGCGGCTTACAATTTCTCCTCCTTCCACATCGGACTACAACGGGAGCACTTTTGATTTTGAAAACAGTGCGCCAGTCTAGCTGCACGTGGTAGAGGAGGCATAAATACAGGCGTATTCTTCATCCAGTGATGAAGAATTTGCGAACACTTGGAAGTGTCAAGCGACATTGAGGTGACTTCGAGGGGCTTGTCACGCAAAATAGCTAATGTTGAAGAGACACTCAAGTCAAAGTGAAATTTCGCGGGGCAAATTAATGTTGCAATTCTTCATATTGTGTCTTTGTGTATGTTGAGGATAACATGCGTGGGTGTTGTGGATTGAAGCGCCCACACCACTCCACACATTATGCGTCTAGTGCATGCATCCAGAGAAGGATCTGCAGGTCAGGGTCAGGCTATCCTATAGGCTGATATGTGTGTGGATCTTTCCTATAAAAGAGTGGTGAGTTGTGAATGCGATTCATTTCTGCGTCGAGGATGGTGTTCTACTTCTCCCTCATTGTGTTGACGACTTTCCTTTTGGCTGAGAAATCCAGAGGAGATAGCCGTAAGTTGCATCTACTATTTGACTCTGAACGGCACAGGCGAATAAGTGGTTGATTAGCAGTAGGATTTGTTGCATTGGTCAATCTTTTTATTTTACTCATGTTCCACTTCAAACTATAAAGCTGACAGTTCAGTTCGTCGGCATTTTGTAACTTTGAAGAGCCTATGCATTCCCTCTTTCTCTCCTGCTGGTACTTGCCAGAGCATGGCGTGTATGATGCAGAACAGAGAAGGGTGGACAATGTTCCTCAACTCCTAAACAGTCAACTAGTAGCGACAAGTTAACGACAGCCATATCAAATTAACACACCTGGGCAGAATTATGCATTCGGTGTATCACTTCCTTTCAATATCTCCCACATGTCCTGTTCATTTTCACGATGCCTTGGAAGTATTAATTTAATGATGCATTTGACGTGGCATCCAAGAATGATGAAACCGCGCATACATGACCACAAATATGCAAGTGAGGTTTAAGAATCAAAGCTCTTGTTCACTTTTTTATGCTTACACTGCAATGCCTTTCATTTCAGCAAGCCCAGCGTTGAGAGAAGCCTCGCTCTGGCAATACTTTAAATGGAGACACATAGAGTATGACACCTTCAAATTAAGTTGGGTAGACCAAAGGTTGACCGAACTGGGCGTAACTGATGTCGCAGTGTTTGCGATACCATTTTCTAAATTCGGCTACCCCAAGGTCGCAATTTCAACTGTCAAACAAGGAAAACTCACTCTCAGAGGACTGCTGCCCGACACAAAGTACGAATTCACCACTATCGCACTTCACCATCGTGATCAAGTTCTCCGTCGCACGGTTTACGGCACAACAGGACCACTTGGTAAGTTTACCTTATTCTAAATGCACTGCATTTCGTTGCATGCATCAAGAGCTGAG